AAGAAGTGTGGTGGATTTACCACCCAACAGCTGCAGATGCCGAGGGTGGGTGGCAGCAGTGAAACAAATCTGGCGGTGTTTCTTGTCGTTGTGCACCGTTGGTGTAGTTTGCCGGTGGCGCATATTTTTTCCATGTTTTGCCTCCGGTGTGTGCACAAATGTTGTTCTGTCTCTGCGTGTGTGTGGTAAATGGGAGCGAGCGGGAAATGGCGTGGCGGCGGCATAGGGGCCGTGTGGGCGGCGGGCAGAAGCGGGGGAAGAGCGCAGGAGGGTCTCGTTTGGGTCCCTCTCCCCGCACTGCTGCCGTCGTTGTGCCTTGGGTTTTGGTTTTGACTTGTTGTGATGCTTGTTTTCACGGCCTGGTGCGGCGGGCGTGCATGTGGCGAGCTTTAGTTTTTGGATCTTGTGTTTTTATCCGCCGCGTTCTTTGCCACGTTTTTCCCTGAGAATAATTTTGCTGCGGGGAGAAGAGGAGGGAGGGGGGAAGGACGTTGCATTGCTGCTACGGGGAGGGAACGGTGGCGCACGTGTGTGGGAGTCTGGTGGTCCTCTGCGTTGGGCGCCGCAGGGGCGGAGGAGGAGGCGAGAGCAGGAGGGTGCGCCGGAGGTGCAAGACGACGCTGGACGTTCCTGCGGGTCTCTGCGAGACCTCCTGTGGGGCCTGCGCCCCCCCCCACGCAGCGGTAGGTGTGCGTCAGCGCGGGGAGGGCAGCCGTGCCTGCGCTGCTCACTCGTTGGGCGCTGGTTTGCCCGCGCACCCGCTGCGAGCAACGCAGACCACACAGGTTTGTTGTTGTTTTTTGGTGCCTGTGTTGGGGTGGGGCCGTCTAGGCGTTGTACCTCCTTTTTTCTTCACCTTGTCTCCACCCCGCGAACACAGACGGCATAAAACCGCACACACACACACACACACACACATCGTTCCACGCAGCGGGTATATGATGGCGGCCGAAGTTGGCATGCGGGCGCTCCCCGCGGTGAGGACCGTCGTCCGGTGGGGGGTGGTGGTGCTGCTGCTGCAGTGCCTGGGCAGCCACCCCTCCTTCACCGCGGCGGGAGAAGACAAGCACGTGGTCGTTAAAATCAAGAAATATTTCAGCTTGCCCTATTCAAAGCTTATTAAAGATGGAGATAATG